TTGTTCTCTTGAGTTTCATATCCTGTGTTATCTCTAGGGAGTTCTCATTGTACTCCTCTAGAGGACTATTGGTACTTGGTGGGGATATATTGTCTTGTTTTTTCATGTTATTATTTTTTTCTCTGTGACTTTGACATGTGAGTTTCCTTCATAGTTTCTGATTCTTGTGTGAGACCCAGGCCTTCCTTTGTTGAGTTTAGATCTGCTTCTTTTTGTAAACTTTATGTGCCTTTGTGGTTTACTTGTTGGGCATGAAGGGCTGTTGGTCTAGGCTTCAGGTTCTCTCTTTTGGTTTTATATTGGAGTGGCCTAATTGCTTTTGTCTTCAGGAGTTCCCACAGAGGCCGAAGTGAGATAAGGCTCGGATGCTCTCAGGCTTTCTCCTAAGGTCTGGGTCCCTCCGGGAAAGATTTTGGCCTCAGGAATTTGGGGTCTGGTGTGGCGGGATAGATGCTGGTCCCAGGAAGCTGGTGGAGCCACCCAGGGAAGTAAAGGGAGCTGAGGGAGGGACCAGGTTCAGAGGGTTCCTGGGGGCTGCAGGGAGGAACTGGGTTGGTCAGGAAGCAAAGCATCAGGAAGCAGTGGTGGCTCTGGGCTGAGAGGTTAGCCCCAGTGTTTGGGGTGTCAAGACAAGAAATGGGCTTTGTGATGGCTAATCCTGGGTGTCAACTTGATTTGATCTGAGATTAACTGAAATGAAAGAGAACTTCTTGATTGGATCATCTAAAGCCGGAAGACACACCCTAAATGTGGGTGTTACCTTCTGATGGCAGCCGGTATAAAAGACCAAGGCAGAGGAGAACACAGGGCTTTTTGCGGCTTGCCTTCTCTCTCGCTGGTGGGTTCGTCTTGCTGCTGTAGACTGAAGACTAGCTGATATTTTGGAATTTGTCAGACCTCCAGCACCAGATTGGGACTACTGAGACATCCAGCCTTGTGGACTGAGCGACTACAGATTCTCAGCCTCTCCAGTGTGGTGCAGCCATTGTTGGACTACTCGGACTCTATCCTGTGAGCTAAGCTGATAAATCTTTATACATATTCATTCTACTGGTTCTGTTTCTTTGGAGAACCCTGACTAATACAGGCCTGTACCCAGGCTAGGAGGAGAGACCTGGTGGGGGAGCTAGGAGGGTGAAAGAGGCTGAGGGAATCAAGGCATGGTGGGCACACTGGACTTACCCAGGGAAGGTGGTGGTAACAGGATGCCCGGAGGCTGTGCAGCCCAGGGAAGTAAAGGGAGGTGAGGGAGGGACAGTTTTTGCTCCTTGCCCTCCTAGGTTGACTAAGTTCCTGGGGACTATGAGCATCTCTCAAAATGTCCTGTAACTGTGGTGAGTCACCTGTCCTCTTGATCAAGGAGACTATGGAGACCCCACCAGATGGACCTGAACCAGTGTCCAGTCTATAAAGAGGAGGGTCA